GTGTTTCCCATACAGTCATTAAGTTAGCTACCTTCCAAAGAAATTTCTTTTTTGTTTTCAACAAGGCTTTCGCTTTAATGCCAGTTAATCTTAAACTTGAAATCCTCATGCCTCAGCCTTCAAAGTGTTGTGATTACAGGTGTGAACACCATGCTTGGCAAAGAATTGAGGCATGGAGAAGACAAGGATTTATATTTTCAAGGAATATAAAATCAAATAGCTTTTTTGTTAACAAAATATTTTAGTAAAAAGTTCAGGCTAGGGCTGGGAAGGTGGCTCAGTGGTAGAGTGCTGCCTTGCATGCATGAGGCCCTGGGTTCGATTCCTCAGCCCCACATAAGCAAAAAGAAAAAGCTGGAAGTGGCTCTGTGGCTCAAGTAGTAGAGCACTAGCGCTCCCAGGCCCAGAGTTAAGGCCCCACAACTGCCAAAAAAAAAAAAAAATTCAGGCTAACTAGACATATGCCTAAGTCTGGGAAAGACTGCATCTTGTTTTATATTTGTTTTGTAACTTCTGTTTTCTGATTTTTGTAGTTGCAGCCATCAAAAAGAAAATGACCTTCACAACCGTGTCCTGGTAGCTCAAGCCTGTAATCCTAGCTACTTGGGAGGCTGAGATCTGAGGATTGTAGTTCAAAGCCATCCCAGGCAGGAAAGTCCATGAGACTCTTCTCTCCAACAACAACAAAAAGCCGTGAGTGGTGTGGCTCAAGTTATAGAGCACTAGCCTTGAACACAGAGGCTCAGGGACAGAGCCCAAATCCTGAGTTTAAGACCAGGACTGGAAAAAAAAAATCTTCACATTAGAGCTCACTTGAATGTGTGTGTGTGTGTGTGTGTGTGTGTATGTGTGTGTGTGTGTGGTCCACACTGGCACTGGGCCTTGAACTTAGGATCTGGATGTTGACCTTTTGCTTTTTTTGGGGGGGGGGAAGGGGTCATGGGGCCTGAATGCTGTCCCTCAGCTCTTCAGCTCAAGGCTATCACTCTACCACTTGAGCCACAGCACCACTTCCAGCTTTTTCTGCTTATATGGTGCTGAGGAAATTGAACCCAAGGCCTCATGCATGCAAGGCAAGCACTCTACCACTAAGCCACCTTCCCAGCCTCCTCCCTTAGCTTCTTTGTGCACAAGGCTGGCACTACTTGTGCTGTAGCTCTACTTTCAATTTTTTGTTTGCTAATTAGAGAAAGTCTAACATATTTTTCTGACAGGGTTGGCTTTAAACCACCTGTTAGAATCAGGTTAAATTAAACAAATAGAGTATTAATTAGACCAAGAAAGAATGAAATTTAACTGGGAAGAACAAGTCTCAGATAACCTAAGAAACATATAGGTACAGACCCTAGGAATGGGACAAATTGTGGCTTGGCACTGAAATTTGCTAAGTAAGAATAAGGACAAACATGAAAGACAAAATCTTCTTGTAGAAACTCCAGGTTAGTCATTAAAGGGAAAATTCCAGAGCTAAAGATTTGAAGTAAATTAGTGAATTAAACACCAGGTTATTGGAATTTTGTAGATAATAGTGAAACTCAGAAAGAGCCAGAAAACTTGAAAGGTGGTTTGATTTTGGGGTGTGCGAAGTAAGAAATTTGGAAGGTGGTTTTTACTCTGAGACTTATTACTTTGCATATAGAGACTGTAATTGCTATCTCACTAACTTGCTTCTTTGACGGGAAGATTTGGAAAGACTTTGCCTTCTGACTTACAGCCTTGGTTATTGGAATGACTGGAATTGTACCCACCATTTTGTTTTCTTCTTTTTTTTTTTTCTTTTTTGGGTCCGGTCTTGGGGCCTGAACTCTGGGCCTGGGCGCTGTCC